GTCCCTCCTCGTTATGGGTCAAAACGAGCAAATCCCACCCGGCACAAACCCCCACTTCCTTCAAACCTCATTTTTAAGGGGAAAGAAATAAAATCTGCTGTCGCTGGTTGGACAGAAAACTTCACTTTTGTTACTTTCTTATTTTTATGTATTTTTATGGGTGGAATTGATCCCATTTTGGGTCCGGAGGAGGGATTCCCCCGTTCCCAACCCTTTTGCTGGAACCACAAACCCGTTTCCAACCCCCAACGGGGGGGTGAGTGTCTTAATTTTCTTCCCCGCTGGGTCTGAATGAACCAGAAATTCTAATTTTGTGCATGAGAACCACGTTTTTTCACCCAAACTCCCCCTTTAACTGGAATGGAGCCGGATTTCGATGCTTCCCCACCTGGGATATTTTGGCTTTACCCACCTCTCCGGAGCTGGGAGAAGATTTTTAAATCTATTTCAACCTCTGCAAAAAATATCACTGCCAGAACTGGTAGAAAACCGCTTAAAATTGACCAAAATTCCTGATTTTTGCATGGAGTGGATAATGGGGATATTGGTGTTCTCTCACCGGGATGATGGATTTGGGAGCGGGTTTCTGCTTTCTTTGGGGGGCTGGCTGGGTTCACTAACGAGCTCTGGGTTCGTTAACGAGGGGTTTGCTCCGGGTAAAGGGTGGTAGAATCTCCCTAACCCTAATTTCTCTTTTTTTGTGCTCATTTTTGGGGGGTCTCTTCCAGGGTTGGTGGCTGAGACGAGCTCCCCGCCGGCAGGACCCCGCTGAGAGATGTCGACCCCGGATCCTCCCATGGGGGGGACCCCAAGACCAGGCCCCTCCCCTGGACCCGGCCCCTCCCCGGGGGCCATGTTGGGCCCCAGCCCCGGCCCCTCCCCCGGCTCCGCCCACAGCATGATGGGCCCCAGCCCCGGGCCCCCCTCGGCGGGACACCCCCTGCCCCCCCAGGGACCGGGGGGCTACGCTCAGGACAACATGCATCAGATGCACAAGGTGAGGTGGGAGATGGGGTGGTGGAAAATAGGCTCATCTTTGGAAAAATGGGGTCGGGGTGGGTTGGTTGGGGTGTTAATTTGTTGTTTTGGGGTCACGTTTCCCTTGGGATGGGAAATCTGAGGTGTTAATGGTTTATTTTAGAGTTGGGGTGATGGTGATGATGGTCTTTAGAGTTGGGGTGATGGTGGTGATGCCCCTTAGAGTTGGTATCATGATGGTCTTTAGAGTTGGGGTGATGGTGATGATGGTCTTTAGAGTTGGGGTGATGATGATGATGACCCTTGGGGTGATGTGATGATGCCCGTTAGGGTTGGGGTGATGATGATGATGCCCCTTAGAGTTGGGATGGTGATGGTGATGCCCCTTAGAGTTGGTATCATGATGCCCCTTAGAGTTGGGGTGATGATGATGATGATGCCCCTTAGAGTTGGGGTGATGGTGACGATGTCCTTTAGAGTTGGGATCATGATGGCCTCTTAGAGTTGGGGTGTTGGTGATGATGATGCCCCTTGGAGTTGGGGTGATGGTGATGATGCCCCTTAGAGTTGGGATTGTGATGCCCTTTAGAGTTGGGGTGATGGTGATGATGATGATGATGCCCCTTAGAGTTGGGGTGATGGTGATGATGGTGATGGTGATGCCCCTTAGAGTTGGTATCATGATGCCCCTTAGAGTTGGGGTGATGGTGATGATGCCCTTTAGAGTTGGGGTGATGGTGATGATGATGCCCCTTAGAGTTGGGGTGATGATGGTGATGATGCCCCTTAGAGTTGGGGTGATGGTGATGATGCCCCTTAGAGTTGGGGTGATGGTGATGATGGTGATGATGCCTATGATGGGGTGATGGTGATGCCCCTTAGAGTTGAGGTGATGGTGGTGGTGATGCCCCTTAGAGTTGGGGTGATGGTGGTGATGCTCTTTAGAGTTGGGGTGATCATGCCCTTTAGAGTTGGGGTGATGGTGATGATGGTGATGGTGATGCCCCTTAGAGTTGGTATCATGATGCCCCTTAGAGTTGGGGTGATGGTGATGATGCCCTTTAGAGTTGGGGTGATGGTGATGATGATGCCCCTTAGAGTTGGGGTGATGATGGTGATGATGCCCCTTAGAGTTGGGGTGATGGTGATGATGCCCCTTAGAGTTGGGGTGATGGTGATGATGGTGATGATGCCCCTTAGAGTTGGGATCATTATGCCCTTTAGAGTTGGGGTGATGGTGATGATGATGATGATGCCCCTTAGAGTTGGGGTGATGGTGGTGATGCTCTTTAGAGTTGGGGTGATCATGCCCTTTAGAGTTGGGGTGATGGTGATGATGTCCTTTAGAGTTGGGATCATGATGCCCCTTAGAGTTGGGGTGATGATGGTGATGATGCCCCTTAGAGTTGGGGTGATGGTGATGATGCCCTTTAGAGTTGGGATCATGATGGCCTTTAGATTTGGGGTGATGCTGATGATGATGCTCTTTAGAGTTGGGGTGATTGATGATGTCCTTTAGAGTTGGTATCATGATGCCCCTTTAGAGTTGGGGTGACGATGATGATGCCCCTTTAGGGTTGGGGTGATGGTGATGATGCCCCTTAGAGTTGGGGTGATGGTGGTGATGATGATGATGATGCCCCTTAGAGTTGGGGTGACGGTGATGATGATGCCCTTTAGAGTTGGGATGATGGTGATGATGTCCTTTAGAGTTGGGACCATGATACCCTTTAGAGTTCAGGTGATGATGATGCCCCTTAGAGTTGGGACCATGATGCCCCTTAGAGTTGGGGTGATGGTGGTGCCCCTTAGAGTTGGTATCATGACGCTCTTTAGAGTTGGGGTGATGGTGATGATGCCCTTTAGAGTTGGGATGCTGCTTTCAAGGCCAGGTTGGACAGGGCTCGGTGCGACCTGGTCTGGTGGGAGGTGTGTGGAGGTGCCACTGGATGATCTTCAAAGTCCCTTCCACCCCAAACTGTCCCATAACTCTATGATTTCCCCCAAATCCCAGGGCATCAGACCTCCTCAGCTCTGGATTGATGGGGGGGGAGTTTAATTCCAAACTAAGGAAGGAGAACGAAGGGTGTTGAGGAGGCAGCAGGTCTGGCCCCTCCCTCTCCAGCTCTCTGATATTTTTTTTGGGGTGTTTTGGGGTGTTTTCTTCCGCAGCCCATGGACTCCATGCACGAGAAGGGAATGACCGAGGACCCTCGTTACGGCCAGATGAAAGGGATGGGGCTGCGGCCCGGGGGGCACGCGGGGATGGGGCCTCCTCCCAGCCCCATGGACCAGCACTCGCAAGGTTGGTGGCTTGAAAAATCAGAAGAAATGGGTCTTATTTTCATTTTTTTTTATTTTTGAGGGGCTGGAGCTCCTGTGGCCGTCGCTTCCCCCCTCTTCCCGGGTGGAAAAGCCAGGAAAACAAATGGCACAAAAATGGTCAAACTGGGGGAATTTTGTCCCTCCCTGTGTCCCGGTCTCCTGGGTGGGCTTGGTGTGGTGTCACCCACCAAACACCTTTCCTTGCCCTAAAATCCTTGATTTTTTGGGAAGGACGTGGCGCTCCTGGGGTTTCCACATCTAAAGCAGCCACGGGCTCCTCCGGGGAGGAGTTTTCTGTGGTTTTCCCTTTTTTTGGGGCTCAGTCTTCTCATCCCCATCCCTGTGGGGATCTAATTGTCCATCCTGTCCATCCATCCCTCTGTCCATCTGTCTCCAGGCTACCCCTCTCCGCTCGGCGGCTCCGAACACGCCTCCAGCCCGGTCCCGGCCAACGGTCCATCCTCTGGTCCTCAGATGTCCTCGGGACCTTCTGGGGTCCCTTTGGATGGCACTGACCCCCAAGCTTTGGGGCAACAGAACCGGGGGCCCACCCCTTTTAACCAGAACCAGCTGCACCAGCTGAGAGCCCAGATCATGGCCTACAAGATGTTGGCCAGGGGACAACCTTTGCCCGACCACCTCCAGATGGCCGTGCAGGGCAAGAGACCCATGCCTGGAATGCAGCAGCAGATGCCGACACTACCTCCCCCTTCCGTCTCCGGGACTGGACCAGTGCAAGGACCAGTACAAGGGCCTGGACCGGGACCCACACCTCCAAACTATAACAGACCTCACGGTGAGGGCTTCCTCCTCCTTGGCACCAGGGTTTTTGGGGTCACCTTGGCCCTCGGCGTTGCCCTGGTGGGCACCCAGTTGGGGGTTTTTCCGTTGGCGCGTCTCAACCCAACTGGTTCCCCTGGAGAAGGCTCTGGGGGGATCTTGGAGCCCCTTCCAGTTCCTCAAGGGGCTCCAGGAGAGATGGGGAGGGAGCAGGGATGAGGGAAGGGAGCTATGGGACCAGGGGGAAGGGTTTTAAGCTGAAAAAGGGGAGATTTAGGGAGAAATTGTTGACTCTGAGGGTGGGGAGAGCCTGGCCCAGGTTGCCCCGAGAAGCTGTGGCTGCCCCATCCCTGGAGGGGTTCAAGGCCAAGGTTGGAGGGGGCTTAGAGCGACCTGCTCTGGTGGGAAGTGTCTGGGATGGAGCTCAATGGTCTTGAAGGTCCAGGTTGCCCAGAGAACCTTGAAGAGGTTCAAGGCCAAGGTTGGAGGGGACTTGGAGCGACCTGCTCTGGTGGGAAGTGGCCGGAGGTGGCACTGGGGGGGCTTTAAGGTCCTCCGATGGGGAGGGGGACACATCTGGGGGGGTTCTGTGCTGGTGAAAACATCTCCCTGCTGGTCAGGTCTTCTGAGCAGGGGAGTAAATGTTGCTTCTGGTGTTTACACCCAAAGATCAACATCTTAATGTGGGTTTTTTGGGTTTTTTCCCCCCTTTTTTCCCCTTTCTGCAGGTATAGGAGGGCCTAACATGCCCCCTCCCGGACCCTCAGGAGTTCCCCCAGGAATGCCTGGACAACCCCCCGGCGGCCCCCCCAAGCCCTGGCCAGAAGGTGAGACCCCAGGGGGTTGGCTGGTGGCCACCAAAACCTACCTTCAACCATCTCACGGAGCCACGAGCTCGTTAGGGGCTGGTCGTTAACGAACTGACGTGCCAGGGTGGGGGGAGACCCCTCTTCTGGGTTCAAACCCTGGAAATGGGGGTTGATTTCATCATCCTGTTCTTCTGTCGTGGCTCCACGAGGCCGTGGGGGCCCAGCCTGGACCCACCACTCGAACTTCATGGGCTTCATGTGGGGAGGGAGCCCCCCACTTTGGGTTTATTTCCCCCTAAATTGATGGGATTTGAGGGGTGGGGGCTCTGGGGGGGGCTGTGCCGAAGCCGGTCTCCGCACCCCGATCAGTGGGAAGGGACCTGGGGGTATTTTTAATCAACCCCTTTTCCTTAAAACTGATGGATTTTGGTTGTCTTTTTCCCTCTCCCTTTTCTTTCTCTCCCTTTTCTTTCTCTCCCTTTTCTTTCTCTCCCTTTTCTTTCTCTCCCTTTTCTCTCTCTCCCTTTTCTCTCTCTCCCTTTTCTCTCTCTCCCTTTTCTCTCTCTCCCTTTTCT